CACGAGGAGCAGTGTCATTTAGGACCTCCCGAACACACGCCTCCAGCAGGTGTGGCTCCATTGTAGTCTGAGCAACAGTTACACCCACCTTAAAAAAAACAAATAATTCAATAAGGTACCATTTCTGAAAGTGGCTCACTAAAATATCAGCAACTGATAAAAGGCATTTCTTAATAATCAGCATTGGTTAATTTGTTTTCTTGATGCCGTTTTGAAATTCCTGGGTAATGAGGTAACTAAGGGTGCTTTCACACTAGCACTTTTGGTCCGCACCCGGGTTCGTTTGACGTCATAGTATGGTACGTTTAGCTTGTGTGAATGTGTCTTCTGAACTCGGGTGCGGACCCATGAACCGTACCCGAGTCCGCCTGAAAGAGGTGGTCTGGGGTACGGTTCATGCGAACTCTGGTACGGTTCACTTCAAATGTGAATGCAATCTTACCAAATGACGGAAGTGAACTGCCAACTGTACAACAAACTATTGTTTTCATAACGTTCGTTCGTGTGTGTGTGTGTCACGTTTCGTACCTTGGTATGGAGTCAGATAAGACTCAAAAGTAATTCACACAAAAGACACGATGTACACATGCGTAGCTAAATTCACGTGCTTAAAATCTAATTCACGTACGTAAAATATTTGTTCACAAATAAATTTCACGAGCACAAAATAAAAATACATTTTCATAAAATATGTTTCACAAATGCAAAACACCATTTGCAAATGTATAAGGGTGTACAAAAAGTTTTGAATCTTTAAAATTTGCGAGTTCATCCTCAAATATAATCGAGAGTTGGCATAGACAGCATGGTGAGACCTCAACGCAGACGCATATTAAATGCTCCTGATTGGTCTACTGCTGGTTATCAGGCCAACACAGTAAAGGAAAAGAGTGTTTGCATATTGCAAAAGATGTCTTTTTGATCATGTTATGTGAAACTGATTGGTTTGTTTGTTTGTCTTCTTAGTTTTTACTGTGTTCAATAAATAAAATGCATGGACATAAGTATTTTGAAAACGTGGACTGTTTAATAACTGATGGGTAGTTACAACCTTTAACAATTGACATTAGGGATGGGTATCATTATGGTTTTAACGGTATTACTACTTTTATCGATACCACTTATTGGATCGGTACTTTAACGTTTCTCTTATCAGTAGGCCCACACGGAATCTGCACGCGCAGAATTCCGCAGATTTTCCGCTGAATTTCTGCAGATTTTTAGCCCATTATTAATTCTGTTTATTTACTTGAGTAAATGTGTAAATCTGAATTTATTCAGTTTTTATTCAGTAATTTATTATTTTTTATTTAATATATTAAGGTTTTAGTTATGATACTCTGCTGGATACTCCCAAAATAATTCCGCAGAAATCCGCAGATTTTTACCAAAATTCTCCGCAGAAATAGCAAAGGAATGTCCGCAGATTTCGTCTGGCCCTGCTTATCAGTACTTTTTGTAGTGTTTTTTTATTTAACAGAAAAAAAAAAACTAAATGAACAGAATTAACAACACCTTATTTTATTATTACGTTTTTAATGTAAAATAAAACTAAACCAATGATTTTAAAACAAAAACTTTTTTTTTTTTAATTTCCTATAAAGGAACGTACAATGGTTTGAAGGAAAATGACTCTCAGTTTAACCATTCTTCTCATCTTCTTATCAACATGTTTGACTTTTCGGGCAGAAGTCTGGATCTTTCTTGGTTTATTGTGCTCCCTGCAGTTATAAAATACCCTCTTTGAGTTGCAAAATGTAGATAAAGGAGATAATGTTTACATGTTTTTTATTAACACATTCACATGTTTTGGGAGTTAGCTGTGTTTTAATACATTTTTGGAGCATCTTGCAATGTAAAAATAGGTAGTTTTTTTAAAATAATTTCTTAAGCATAGTTTATTATTAGTCGCTGTCCACTCAGGCAATACAACCCATTTTGTCCACTCCGCAAGTTCACGAGCTTACAGCCAAAAACATATGGCATTTATACTTGACGTGCTTGCGGGAAACACAAAAGTACAGAGTTTTGGTGCCCATCCCTAATTGAACATCCATACAAATACTAGGGAAGTCAATGATTACAGGGTTAATACGTTTCTTCTAAATATCTTCTTTTGTGTTTAACATAAAAAAGAAACTCAAGCAGGTTTGAAACAAGTAAAGGGAGAGTAAATGATGATTTTTGGGGTTAACTATTCCTTTAACATGTATACATGTAGTTTTAATTATTCAAATAGCAAAAATAATGTGTCAGTAATGCGTTTAGTATAGACTTCTTACAATGACTTTTCTGCTGGATGTCAAATGGACTGTAAAACTAAATTCTTGCCGACTTAATTTTTTAGTTTAAACCTGATTAAGTTTAAAACTAATTTACTTATTAAAATAAGTTATAGCTACATAAATTTATATTTATATATTATGAATATATATTTATTATCTTGACTTTTTGTCATGTTTTTTACAGTGTGGCAACTGAAACAAACAAACACACTCAAGGTTTTTGACATTTTAGTACCATTAAATCCGAATTAGTCAAACTAACAAGCGGGATGTTGCAGTAATGCAACAGGTGAAAGATAATATGACAATAAAAAACATTCTCACCCGGGCACAGAAATTGTTGATGGCTTGTGGAGGGAACCCACGTCTCCTGAGAGCTGTGAGGGTAAAAAGCCTAGGATCATCCCAATCTCTGAAAAAAAAAACAAACAAACAATACAGCATGAAATATGTGTTTCCATCACACCAATAAATGACCCCCCCAAAAAATAAAATAAGATGAGTGTGTTTGTACTACCTAACAACTCCTGTTTCCACCAATTTGATGATCTTTCTCTTGGAAACGACAGTATAAGTGAGGTTCAGTCGGCCATATTCCCACTGCACCGGGCAATACACATCCAGAGCATTGCACAACCAGAAATATGATGATCGTCTGAGAAAGACAGAATAATCAGCATGTAGGACATTATTTACATTATTTTACAAACAAAACACAACTGCAATGTTCTAAATTCATTTTGCTTTTATAGGCAAAATATTTCTTTTACAGTTCAAGTCAGAATTATTAGCCCCCTTTGTATATTTTTCCCCAATGTACAAAGCAAATTTGACTTTTTACAAATAATATATTTTCAGTTACCATAAACAACACCACTTACAATGAACAAATAAAAAGTAAGAAATAGGAAATAATGCGTCAAAGTCCAAATAAACATGGTGAAAATCCTCAGTAAAAAAAATAGATATAAATATTTACTATTCTATAAATAGTTACAAAACTAAACTAGATTCAATATAGACCATCCTTAGGTTTTTTGTGCCACATGGATATGGTTTTGACCCTGCTGCGTCTCAACTTGTGTTTGCAGACAAACAGCTGCACCTTCATTTGCGCCCTTCGAAAACAGCAAGACCAGCACTTCGTCTTTGCTGTGTCACTGTTTTGTCATGTTTTTGTGCTGTTGTGCATGCAAAAGTACTTAGTATGAGAATTATTTCATGCAAAACTTTTTTTTTGCGTTTTATTTAGCCGTGCGTAAATGTACAGCCTATTTCTCGTTCCGGGTTGTTCAAAAAGCGGATTGGTGGCGAAACCTAGGCATATTGGTTGAGAGAGAGTGAGTTTGAACCAATCTGGGCATGGAGGAGGGACAATGCATCAATGTATCCGCTTGTTAAGTGTGACGTCACGCGAAGCGGCTTCCGAGTCCAAGCGCTCTATTCAACTGAATGGGGAGACTCATGAAATGGTAATAATAAACGTTTACATAGCGATTAAATGCTTTCGAAAATCAAGATCGCAGTATATATGTCCATGCCTAATATCCGATGGCCAGAAAGTGATTATTTTTTTTTATAAATTGTTAATTTTTTGGTATTTGTTATGCAGCAAGCCCAGAGATTGTTGTGTACACTATGATTTTGATATAAAATTAACTTTAGTGTGTGATAGGAATAAAACATGATCTTAAACGAATGATTTCTTCACTCAAATGAGTGGCGGCTTGGACCCGGAAACAGTATACATACATCACAAACACGTCACCACTTAACAAGCGGATCATGTCTGGTTTGTCCGGAGACGAGCGCTTCTTTGTCAAATCAGCGTTGTCAAAATTTGATGACGTAACCACACTGATTCCGGAGCCTCTGAAAGTCCGTGAATGTAATTTGTTACAGCTCTGAGATTCTCTTCTTTATGCCAATCTTTGAATTGTACGGATCGGATCAGCAGATCAAAAGTTATTAAACATTAAAGAACAATACTTATTTTTAGCCACGGGTCTTTAAGGGTTAATGGACAGTAGATTTTTTTTAAACACATTTCTAAACATAATAGTTTTAATAACTCATTTCTAATAACTGATTTCTTTTATCTTTGCCATGATAACAGCACATAATATTTTAATGGATATTGTTCAAGATACTAGTATTCAGCTTAAAGTGGCATGTAAAGGCTTAACTAGGTTAATTAGGCAGGTTAGGGTAATTAGGCAAGTCAGTTAATAACAATGTTTTTTCTGTAGACAATCCGGAAAAATACTGCTTATGGGAACTAATAATATGGACCTTAAAATGTTTTTAAAACATTAAAAACTGCTTTTATTCTAGCCAAAATAAAACAAATAGACTTTCTCCAGAAGAAAAAAATATTATCAGACATACTGTGTAAAATTCCCTACTCTGTTAAACAAAATTTGGACAAAATTTGAAACAGAAAAACAAATTCACAAGAGGGCTAATCATTTTCTCAGTCTAATTCACTGAGAATAATACTGATGAAACAAAAACCAAAGTGACAAACCTGGCCTGAAACTCTTTGGTGCACAGAGAGTGTGTGATGTTCTCAATGGAGTCGCACAGACAGTGCGTGTAATCGTATGTGGGGTATATGCACCTGTACACAGGACACAAGAAGAGAGCAGCATTAAATTAAGAAGCAAAATGACACCATGTAAGCTAATCAAAGTGCCTTACCAAGTGTCTCCTGTCCTGTGATGCGGCGTGTATTTGATCCGATATGCCACCGGGTCCATTTTGCCATCTTCCATGACCATCTTCATTCTGAGAGTGGCTTCCCCTTCTGCAAACATTCCCTTCCTCATGTGCTCAAACAAAACCAAAGACTCTTCCACGGGTCGCTCTCTCCAGGGAGAGGAAGGGACGTTGTGACCCTTGAGCTCCTCTCCGCGCTGGTGGCACACATATGCATGACCCCTGATAGGCAACACAAACAATAACTAATAGTAAATAACATAGAAACGGATTCACACAAGCATATAAACATCACTGCTTTCCCTGATTATAATTAGAAATGCACTGAATTGTTGGCTGCGGAAATTCTACGATTTAAATAAACATCATTTTCTTCTGAAAGAGAAAAACGCGCAAAAATTAGATCTGATAAAAAAAAGTTTCAGTCTCCCTCCAGCCATAGTCAGTGCGCAGTGTGAAGGAGCTTTCACACCAGACACGGAAAGAGTTGCGTATGAAATCCATTCATTTCAATGGCTTGTGGCAAGCAAGTGTGGTCTGTTGTCACAGAAATGCAAAAGCAGTGGATGGCACCGTCAACTAGCTTGAGCATTCAAAATAGCCAGTGGTGCAATTCCCAGGGGGGACAGGGGGGACATGTCCCCCTCACTTTTTTTTAGATATAGCACTTTACTTCATGCTATAATTTTCCCTCAAGAGTCGAAAATAGTTATTTTTCAAATTTAGGCTTTTTTTGCACACAATTACTCAACGTTGCTGCACATTTCTAAAACTATCACCAACATTTCACAACAGTATCACCATCACTCAGATTTGGTCCCCCCACCTCTCAGACCAGAATTGCACCCTTGAAAATAGCTCAATATTCTATTTTATTAAAATGTTATTATTTTACAAAATGTGGTTATTTTATTGGCTTGTGTTTTTAAAATCAGTATAATTTTTAATTATTGTGGAAAAGTTAAAACGTACAAAATTACTTGATATATAAAATGATAATAACAACAACATTAACTATATGATGAGTATACATAATAAATATAAAATAATAAGACTTTTTGGTTTAGTTTTTTGACCAGTTGCACCCAGCATTTTTTGTTTTGGCGCAACCCTAATTTATATGTATAAAATTATTTTCAATATTTTAAATAATGACTTTTGATGAGTAAAAACAAATGTTTATTGTACTACAAAAACTTCGGCTACAAAAGCCTGTTAACACTCACACATTAAGCAATGGGACTGTAATCTTACCTGCGAATGAGATCAACAGCAAGATTGTAGAGACGCTGGAAGTTATCAGAGGCGTGTGTAACAGCATATGGTTCATATCCTGAGTGAATAAAGATCACATTTTAAACGTCTGTGAAACATCTTTCTATAACATTAATACATCGTTTTTAAATGCATTTCAGAACAATTTGCAGTTTCATTTCAGACATTAAATTTAGTCTTTCAGCAGTGACAGATTACACTGAACTGTGACAAATTTTTTATTTACTTCGACAAAATCTACATCGTAAAAAGTGCAACAGAAACAAAGATGAACAGAATTAAGTGTTATTTTTTTCTTTTGAAACAACTACAATCTGGTTATTTTTAAAAGCAAGTTTAAAATAAACAAACAAACTTTTTAAAAAAGCATGAATCCCCAGTAGAGCTTAGATTGGGCCCAAAAAATGAAACCCGACCCTACCCAAGTACCTGTACTGTAATTACCTTAACTGTATTTATAAGCCTGAGCCAGCTTTAAACCAGACTTTAATACGTGGGCTGTTATAACAGAGGTTCTCAACTACAATTCTGAGTTGTTTGAACTACAGAAATTAGTTTAGATTTTATCTTAACGAATATTCTAACAAGGGCGAAGCATGTAAACTGCACTGTTTGTTTATTCAGAATGGATCGTGACAAAAGAGGACACTAAAGGCTGACTATCATCCTTTCTGCCATGGCAAGCTATGACTTTTTGCAATCACCTCTTTCACACTGCACGCATGAGCAGAGGGTGAGCAGCGCATGTTTGTTCGACTTCCATGTTAATGGATTAGAGCTTTCATATCGCATGCGGAAGCAGTGGCACCGAAATAGCAGTGTCGCGATCATTTCAGTGCTGGGTCTATTTTTGCCCCTGCTCACACTCAATTAAAGTGACAGTACATTGATAATGACCAAAAACATATTAAATGACAATAAAAAGTAGCAATTTTACTGCATAAATCCATCGATAAGACCCACTGTTTCTACTCTACATATGCGCGGCTTTACCTCTGCTTGCGCGTGCAGTGTGAATGTGTGCCAGTGGAGGAGATGCTGTTGCAGGAGCTAGAGCGTTGCTGTGCATGACACACGAACTGCTCAACTTTGTAGATCCATGTGTGTTGCTTAGGCCAACTTCGTTAAAATATTAAAATATTCATTTAATATTTATAATTATGGCATAGCTTTCCACCCAGTTGGGCCAATTAGGTAATGACAAAAAAACAAAAAACAAAACACAAATACTTGATCACGGTTCAACTCAACCTGAAGAGAGTAGCAGGAAATATCAGCCCGACCTGGCCCGCGGGTCAAGTCTGGGCTCGGGCAGAGAATCTAAACTCAAATCCCCAGAAAAGCCAGGAACTGTCCTTAGGACTAGGCAATTCATCGAAATGAAATCTTAAATGTGATTAAGCAAAGCTCTGATTGTCATGCACATCTTGTCAGGGAAGCACAGTTGTGTGCCCAGTAATAAAACTCCTTCGAAAGCCAGAGAGTGTTCTTGTGGAAACCCTTAAATACCAATAAAGAAGAAACCCAGGAAATAGTGTTACTTTATAAACAGAAAATTTAACCAATTTCGTTGATTTAATGTGACTAATAAACTTACAACTACTGAATCATCTCTCAGAATGACTCATTTTAAGCACTCAACGGAAGTTATAAAGTGAATTGGTTTTTAAATGTGGTATTTACATACAGCATTTACTACAGAGCCATAGGTCACTAAGATACTACACAAACAGCTTTCATCACAACAGAACAATTATCTTAATATTTTATTTATTATTGTAAGATTATTGATTAAATCTGTCATTTTTATACTTCAGTAAACGAACTGGTTTTTACTGGATAGATTGAATCCGATTTTAACACTCACCAAGCCACTCCACCATGTCTTTGATGGCGGTGAAGTATTTTTCCTCCTCTTTCTCTGGGTTTGTGTCGTCATACCGCAGAAAACAGATGCCGTTGTTGGCCTGACAAAGTGACAAAGACACGTTAAGTTAGCCTGGAATTTCTTCTTATACGCAACTTATTTTAGGATGCGTTTACCTTGGCGAAACCAAAATTGAAGTTGATTGCTTTGGCATGACCGATATGCAGAATACCATTAGGCTCAGGAGGGAAACGTGTGCGGACCTACAAAGAAGTGAAAGAAAAAACCGTGTGAACGTACAATTTACATAACATTTTCAAAATGCTACTGCTGGGATGATTAATGAATATTTTGTGATCTGTAAATCGAGTGTTTAAACTATACTGTTGGGAACTGGGTACTGTGGTGTTAGTAACTGTTCTAAGGAGCGTGTTTTGGGCGGCTGCTGCGATTGGATCCTATACCAAAGTTGGCAACCCGGGGGTTTCACAGACCGTACCAAAATGTTGAAAACCAGCGGGGGGAGGGTGGGATTGAAATTACGAGAGTTTTCCAGGAAAAATAACAAAACGGGAGGGTGGCAGGACATGAATCTAAAATAAAAGAGACTCTGGCAGGTATGCTTACACATACTCTCTGCACTCTGATTACAAATTGTTGATCTTTTTTTCTGTCTCGCGCTTAACGCAGTCGTACAATCACAGACTGGGTCATTGGACCAATCAGCGCAGATTAGCATCGCGCTAAGAAGGGACTTGGGAACAAATGAATCGCTGAACGAATAATATGAAACTGAAATTGCACAATACAGTAACACATTGTTAATATTTTTTGAGATCCCCAGAAATTTCACAAATCATGTTTTTAGGAGAGCCCATGTCTTTATTGGGGTAGACGAGCTCCAGCTAGCTCCCTTGTAGTTGCAGTTGTAGTCATACCTGTCCTCCAGTTTCTTCCAAGTGCTTCTTCAGCAAGTTCATGGTGTTAGGTGTTACAACATAACCCTCCGTTTTGTAATTCTCCCCTGTGCCGAGAAGATAAAAGGAAAAATAAGAAGATTGAATGACATTGTAGCTATCTGGACACATAGTCGTTAAGGACACTTACCTGGCTTATGGAACTTAAGAGCTTCTCCTCTCAGCTGCTCCATCAATGACTTATTCTCAATGTTCCCATCACCTTGAGAGAAAGATGCATTAGTAAAACAGACTTTTACAATTTTATGAAGAAATCATGTTAGATGGTTCAAGAATCTCCTTTTAAAGTATAGTTCTAGAACCAGATGTTCAATATATTTACAATACAGCAAATGACCTATCAAAAGAAACTTTATATTGTTGCCGCCAAAAGATATATCATCATACTGCCAAACCCTAGCCATTACTAGCATCTCTGATGCAGCATATAATTTTCACAAAAATAATGACGCTTAAATTATTGTTGGTTTGGCATTATACCAAATACTAAATTTATACAATACAACATTATAACAAATAAAAAAATTTTTAAAACATATTTATTGTTTTTTGTACTTAACTGTTATTATAATATTGTTGTGGATTATGTTGTCTGGAGCTACCACCTAAGCTTTTCACTTATCATATCACATGTGCTGCTGATGACAATAAGTGATAAAAAAAAATAAAAATAAAAAAAAGACACTGTAAATTTTTATTTATATGGACTGATGACCTTGAGTCTATTGACAGTGTAGGGCTGCTTACAGCCAGATCAATGGTTTTTTTTATCAGTAATTGTGTTTTCTGCAACATTTACATTGTAAATGAGCTAAATAATGACACCGGTGCGCTAATTCAATTCAACTTGCATTATAGACAATTATTACCACCATAAAGTGGTTATGAAACAATCTGTGCTTTATAAATGACTATATAGGAAAACATTCTGCAGTTTTTTATATAGTTAACAACATCTATATTAACAACATCTATAAAAAGAGTAAAAGTATGAAAATACAACTTCTAAAAGATCTTCCATAATTTTGTAAAACTTAAAAAAAAAAAAATTATATAATAATCAAAATAATAATAGGATTTTAATAATCCTGATCAAATACACAAGAACATGGCAATGACTTTTCCTACTAAAAATAAATTACTTCACAAAAATTATTATTCCTTAGTTCTTATTTTTTTTAGATTCACAAAGCTAAATGACACAATAAATGTTTTCTGGGATACTAAACAAAATGCAACTTTTAATGTAGGGCTCTATCAAATAAATTGCATAATAAATCTCTCTACTATGTATGTTTTAATTATTAAATAGCATTTTATTAATCAGTTCTTCCAGAATTCTGCATACAAATATAATTATTTTGCAGATAAAAGCTGGCATTTATTAAAAGTTAAAAAAATTTATTGCAGGGCCCTCTGAAATATGTTTTATTTAGTAAATTATGTGTTTCATGGTTTACAATCCATTTTAATAAATTCATTGAATTAGAGTAATGACAATAATAGTCAAAAAGGTTGACAAACTTACACATTAAAATAAGACAACGCATGGAAACCCTGATAAAGATGACTTCACTCGATTGAAGTGCAGTGTAAAAAGGTCACACAGCCTTCGGCATCTTACCGTTTACTGCAGAAGCCTGCTCAATCTTCACATCTTTTTCTGGTGCTTTGGGTTTGACTGCCTGTGAAGAGAAAAAAATGTGGCTAAAAATAATGTTTTACACCACCATAAAACCAATCTTGGTCTTTTCTGTCATTTTTTACAAAAAAATTCTGACCATCCTGTTCATCTTGACAGAATGACTTTGTTGAGCATCAAACCAAAGAAGACGATTCACATTATTATATTAACTTATCTAAAAGGTGTTTTGTGCAACTAATAGAAACAAGTTTTGTCCTAAATATTTTTCCTAAAATACCTAAATGTTTTTTTTTTTAGAATTTAATTATATACTTATATTATTAATGCATATTAATACATTACTCATAAATATATAATTATTATTACACAACTAGGCATTACACTACTTAATTTTATTTTGTATTGACAAAAGGATTGATATGTGACAAATGACAATTGCAAAAACAAACAAACAAAAAATAGGGGCTGTAAACACATACCTTGCTCTTTTTTTCCAGATCCGCCTCAGTTTTTGGACCGAGAAGGTGCAACACCTTAGAAACATGCACAAATTATGAGTGAATGTATATTTAAGGGTTAGTTCAGACAATTAATTATACAATTAATTCAATTAAAAGTGTATTTGTATAGCACGTTTTACAATAACTTTCATGAAATTGTGTAATTACTTGCCCTCATGTCATTCCAATTCCCTAAGACCTTAGTTTATCACCAGAACACAATTTAAGGTATTTTAGATGAGATCTGAGAGCTCTCTCATCCTCCATAGATAGCAACTGTCCCAACTCATTAGAAGAAAAACACCCAAAAAAATCTTTAATAGAGTCCACATGCCTTCAGTGGTTCAATCGGAATACTAGTAAGCTGTGACTTTGGACATGGCATGATTGTTGGTACCTGACAGGCTGGTCTTAGTATTTCAGAAACTGCTGGAATTTTACGCACACAGGTTGACAGAGAATGGCCTGAAACAAAGAAAATATCCAGCGATCGGCAGTTCTGTGGGCGCAAATGCCTTGTTGATGCCAGAGGTCAGAGAAGAATGGTTAGACTGGTTTGAGCAGATAGAAAGGCAGCTGTAACTCAAATAACCACTCGTTACAACAGAGGTATGCACAAGAGCATCTCTGAAGGCACAACACGCCAAACCTTGAGGCGGATGAGCTACAGCAGCAGAAGATCACACCGGGTGCCATTCCTGTCAGCTAAGAACAAAAAACTGAGGCTAAAATTCGCACAGGCTCACCAAAATTTGACAATAGAAGATTTGAAAAACGTTCCCTGGTCTCATGAGTTTCGATTCCTTAATTGGCTTTGTGGTCTATCGCTCAGGGTGTGGATGTTACGGCAAGAGTAGATATTACTTGCTTGACCGGAAGTCCAACACCATGCAGTTGGTGCACCGGAATGACTTGACCATTTAATGGGTTGCTTGTGAGCAGGGCTCTGCCACTGGTGCCCCATAACTGACTTAGCTTGCTGGTCGGAGCTCTGGCCCTGGACAGGCCCACATTAAATGAAGAAGATATCTTCATTTTTGTTCTGACCATGAATGAAGGTATTGGGAGTTTGGAATGCCACTAGGCTGAGTAATTATTGACAGATTTTTTCCTAAGAGAACTATCCCTTTAAGACAATCATCTGAAATCAAAAGAAAAACTGCCACGCTGGCACGAACCTGCATATCCACTTCATTCTTGACAATCTTCCCATCAGCCCATTTAAGAGTGGCTCTGGCCTCACCTGAATAGCATAAACAAACTTTTCATACAGGCACAACACATGACTAGCTTCCATGACTTTGCATTCACATAACATTTAGCAAACACTTATATCTACAGTGACCTACGAAATGAGGAAAGCATTATAAAGTCTCAACATAAAAAGGCAATATTCACAAAAAGTGATTCTAATATAACTTTTCTGACATTGCTGGGAAAATAAAATGTAGGGTAAGGAGGGAGTAAAAAGCAAACACACACACATTGACACATTCATATTATTTATTAGTTCCTAAGGACAAAACAAAAGAAAAAAACTCAAAGCATACACAAGCCTTACCCATGAGTATCCCCATGTTGAAGCGATATCTCTCTGCCAACAGCTGATCTTTGTGTTTCCTGATAATCAATTCCACCTGTGAAAGAGTTAACAGGAGAACAATGACAGATCAGGATCCTTAATAGAGGCATTAAGCTGTGTTCAGACATAATGTGTTTTTTCTCAAATAGGATCCAACCAGGACACAGTCTGCACCGTTAATTCACAAAAAAAAAATGGAAATCATCTAGCTTTCCAAATAAGCACCATTTTTTCGCTCAGTGATACAGAGGACTGGTGGATATTGTGAGGGTTTTCCAAAAGGTAGTCACAGCTAGCTTTACTAGCTATGCTTGTCCAGCTATTTTATGCGCATTTTGAATATGGACATAAAAAAAAATAAATAAATGAAAACGGTTGATGGAAATGCCAAGATGTGCATACACTTTGAGAATGCGCGAAAAAAAACATGCGCAAACTGAGTAGAATAAACTCTTTATAAGAAAAGATGTGCATAAACTACGATGGAAACACTTTTACCGAACAAATTCCAGTATGTGCATTAAAAAGGTCATGAGATTTTGTTACAAGAGATCATGTGATAAGAAAGTTGTGTGTGAATGGATAAACCAGCAGGTTGAGCACATTGTAAAGCATCTGAAATGTTGTTTTGGTCAGCTCCTTACCGTTTAAGTATTAGTTTTATTACATTATTAATGACCTCCAGAATAGTTAAGAGCATCTGTGCTCGGTTTCTCACGCCGTCAAACACCACCACGGGTTCATTGCGTGTCGGCATTTGTCTTCAGAAGCACAAGTCATTTATTAAAAAAAAGAAAAGATTCACACAGCTTCTCCTACTGCAGCAAATTCAGTTTTTACTTTTGATATTTGGCCCCAGTTAATCAGGAAGTGACGATGTTGTCTTTGACTTATTGGATGGGAACGATGCTTTATTCGCACGTTTTTATGCGATATTCCAGTTTTGTGCATACATTTAAATCACATCTTCAGATAGAAACATAGCCACTGTGGGGTAAGAGGCGTTATCTAGTACTGAGTTTAATACTGTATAACTACTAAGGGTGTCACGATTTTGATTTTTAAATCGAAATCGATCGAAATTTAAGCGCAATTTCGATTATCTAATCAAAAAATAGAATCGTCGATGCTGCCACGCCCCCATGTCACGTCAGCTTGGCTTGCCAAGCAGGAAAAAAAACACGCTTGTTGAAGTGCATGTTAAACTGTGCAGACGCAGGAGACCCGTCGACAGAGCTTAAACCCTCTCCTCTTTCAACGAAGTCGCCAGTGTGGAAGTATTTTGGATTTCCAGTGAGTTATGTTGACAATGTTCGTGTTGTCGACAAAAAAAAAAACACAGTTTGCAAGCTCTGCTATGTACGTATTAGGGTTGGGCTGATAGAGGATGGGCGCATCGCGATCCTTCACCCCGCCCCTGTTGCAAATCCGCTCGCGAAAAATACACACTCAGGCCCTGTTTACACTAATAGGTCTTTGTTTTTAAATGGCATTTTAGAACGACAACGATCCATATCCACACTGGCGTGTAGCATTTCTGAGCAGCCCTCCTTCCTCACTACCGCTGAAAACGCACATCACGTGACCACACAAACACATTCACACACACACTGTCATGCGTTCGAGACAGCGGGTCCAGGCAGTCAGCGGGTCAGTAGACTGCTTCAATCTTTAACTTACACATTTGTACTTAGTCATTTTAGCGAACAGCTCAGATACTGTTGGCTGGTTCCTGTTGGTTGTGCATCTTTTTTACCGACGCCATTATAACGACACAGATCACTGCCTATTCACGAGTCCCGCAGAAAAAAGTGATTGACAGGTGGTAATTATGTGTGTAACTTACCTTTATTCGTTTACTGTATAATTTGTTTATGGGTAAAACAAAGACCATGCAGGTCAGTTAGTTTAAATGTCAGGCTACAAATAATTAATTCGTTATTAATAAATTAATTATTCATAATCGAAAATCGAATCGAACCGTGACTTTAGAATCGAAAATGTAATCGAATCGAGGATTTGGAGGATCGCGACACCCTTAATAACTACTACTGGTTATTTTAAACTAGCTTTTATGTTACTTCTGTGCCACATTTACAGTGGCAGAAAAAATCTGAAATCTGATATGAGCAGCAAGAGCATCCATACTGGAATCACATTTCAAACCATCTCCAAATGTGAGAGAAAATAAGATTTGATAAGCAATAAACCAGATTTTTTGCTTACAGTCTGAACATAAATAGTCATAGAAAACTATTGTATTCAGCTTTTGTTATAAATATCATTTTGAAGTAAGAGATGATTAAAATACAATGCTTGGCCGCCATACAAAATAATTGAGAGCAGAAAACAAGAATAAAATTATTTAAAATGTCTTTACATTCTATTAAAAACATTTATATTGCATTTCTTTTTAAATCAAGACATAAAAAAAATGATCAAAGCATATTTGGCTGGACAGTTGTATAACATGATGTTACTGCGCATAAAGCGGGACACATTAAGAGTTTAATCATTTGCTCTACAAGGAAACACCGCTGGGAAAATAAGAAAGAGACCAGCATACATAGACCCTCCCTTAAAAAAACTTTAAAAACGATCTCAGGTTTTATGAAGTCACATAATGTATCTATAAATAGTGTTCTTACTGCGTCCTCTATCTGCTCAGGTGTGACAACCACTCCCACACCACAGGCCACCTCAAACTTGCGCTGATCCACATCGCCCTGAGGGTGGCTTTTCACAAAGTCCAAAGCCGCTGAGGAAAAATAAAATAAACAGAAATAAAAATATCAGAAATTATGGATTCATTTACTTTTGAGTATTATCTACCTATCTCAGTAATAGATTTCTCTTAATATTGCATTTTTTGTGCTCTGTGGTCTTTTTTCACTTTCTAAATTATATTAATATTTGGAAAAATAATAATATTGTCAAATGGTTGTGTCATGCATGTCTTGTTTACAGGTTCCCGCAATTGTGATTACTACACAAATCCAAGTTTTGCTGGTATTTTATTTTAAAAAATCATTCCAAAATGCATTTGGCTAATTTACATAAGATTTCCTCGCTGTCTGTGGCATGATGACATATTGGACCAGGCCCAATACGTATAAGACATTAGCCCCTTTCACACATTGATACCGGTAAATATCTGGAAAATTTCCGGAACGACTTTACCGGTATATTGAAAAAAGCGCTGTTCACACAGGCGAGGACGTTACGTAAATTTTCCGGAAAAGAGCATTCACACATCCATTCCAAAATACCGGTAAATTCTGACATCATTCACCACAAATGAGCTTTAAACGGCTGAGCTTGTATTTGTAAACATTTGACTAAATTACAAACTCTGTGGATGATCAAAATTGTGAACAACTTTCGCAGGATCACTTTCGCATGTCAAGGCTGTTTCAAAGGCACACGCAAAGCTTGAAGGTAAACAAACAACGGCTTATTATAAGCATCTCATTGATGATTATTTACACAGTTGGCATTAAGAAGAACATTTAAACGTGATCTGACTAACTTCTAGCAGCTAAATGTGTCTGGAAAAATATTCAAAGGTTTTTATTCTCACAAACCAAAATTGCCGGCAATTTTCCGGAAAGGTCTGTATGTGTGAAAGGGGCTATTGTAACACCCACTAAATTAACACCCATATTACTGTGACAGTTGGGTTGGGACAGCTGAGAGGACTCTCAATTTCCATGGGGTGGGTAGTGATTATTATAGGCAAAATAAATAATAACAACAAATCTGTGGTCAACATAAATCAAACTCTTTCGTAATTCTTTTATTTAAGTACAAACATATTCTTGATTCTAATACATTAAGAGTATTTAATGTCCGCAGGAACCAGAAGTTGAGACTGTTTTTTTGTATTGTGACGCAGTTCCTAGAGAAACGAAATATTAAATCAGAAAACAGTAGGCGTGGTTGTTTTTTTCTACTGAGAGGTGATTGGATATAGTAATGTAGGCATTTCATTCAGAAGGAAAAGGGTTTTGGGAGAGATATTACAACCTAACAAGGCACCTCCTCCTCGCCAGTTCTGTTTGTTGTTTGTCAAAACTGTAGGCTAGTCGTGCATTTATACTTCTGAGTGCTGTTTGTGTTGCTCTGCAATAACACCTCCGAAACGCTAGATGGCATCAGGTTTTTATGTTACTCTGTGTCGAGTTTCTTTGTGGGTGTTCTGTTTTTTCTGAACGCTACAAGGAGCTTAAACTCACTCATACAGAAGTGGGAACCGGTGGACGTGCAGCAACTTTAATCAAAAGGTAAACACAAAACAAAAGTTTTTATCTGGATCTCCTTCACGCGACTCGAAACTTGTAAACACTCGCTTCATCTCGCTGACGTCTCACAGCATCATCGCTACCAAGCCCACCAATCACAAAGCTTGGGCAATGCGTCGTTGCAACATGTGGTTAAATTTTTTGAGAGGTGCACGTCAGTTACAGCGAGGGTTAAGGCTGATTTATACTTCTGCGTCAAACACCGGCGTAGGCTACGGCGCTGACGCATAGCCCTTCGCCGTGGCCGTCGCCGTCACTGACGTGCACCTCTCAAAAATTGTGACTACACGTCGCAACAACGCGTAGCGCAAGCTCTGTGATTGGTCGGCTTGCTAACGCCGACGAGTCTGGGCGGGACCGAGAGCCGCGCGAATGGCGCGAGCGTTTGTTTACAAGTGTGGAGTCCCGTGAAGGAGCTCCGGATGGAAAGTTTTGTTCTGTGTTTACCTCATGGTTAAAGTTGTTGCACGTCCGCCGGTTCCTGCCTCAAAATGAGCGAGTTTGAGTCACTTGTACATCCAGGAAGTGTTCAGAATACCAAAACAGAAGCGAAGAAACTCGACACAGAGGAATATTAACACCTCACTGCCCTCTAGCGTTTCGGAAGTGTTAATGCAGACCAACGGAGACAGCGCGCAGAAGTATAAATGCACAGCTGCGCGTGTTGCCTGCGCCGTGAGTTGCGCCGGTCACTTGACGCAGAAGTATAAACCAGGCTTTAGGTGGCCATGTGAAGGCTGCGCCGGACCATGTGCCTAAGCTTGACACAGAAGTATAAATCAGCCTTGACAGTTGGAGGGGTGTGGTTAAGTACGTTAGCCACGCCCAATACCTCAAACATGTAATCTGAAAATGTAACTGTAATCAAACTAGAATCGCATTTCTAGATTTCAATTTAAACTTTATAAGAGCAAACTATGTTTTTGTCTTAATGATATTCACCACAAAACTAGCAATGTGAGTTAACAAAACCCATGTTTAGTGTTATATTCATGTGTACTTTAAAGTCAATATTTTAAGTCACAACATACACTGAGAAACAAAAGGTGAACAGTTCCAGAGGAGCAAAATCAGATACCTGACAGCTGCAGTTCTGTTGTGATTTTTCGTGAAATGATGTATTTTGTGAGAAAGGGAAGCCTGTTCGTGTCTTTAAGTCGTGTCACCATACTGTACAGCAGAGTGCCAGTGATCTTGTCAATGGCAGAAGACCCCAGCTGGCCTTGAGCCTGATAAACACAACAGTAACATAAGCAATAACATGTTTAATCATCTATGATTAATTTGGTTACTAGTTTTTGTAAATAAAGTGATTAGAGAAACTGTAATGAAAGTTTTCAAGAGGCTAAAGACGTTGACAACGAACCACATCAGCGACTCGTTATGTATTCTAATCAAATACGTAACGTTACCAGATCAATGGCTTTCTTGAGTGTTGATGAAAGTGTTTCATTCTTCAACGTTTCCTTAGCTTTCTGCTCACTAAGGCCAATTGACATGAAAGAAGACACCACGTCCGCCATTTCTCTTTCACCACACACGCCGGTTTTTACGCTTCTACAAAGCCTGCAGAAGGCGTGGATTTCCGCCATCCCTCGGTGGGCGTGTACTAACCGTGATTTCTCCAATCAGATTTGCTTCTGAGCATCTTTTCACCAATCACCGAAGAGCCTCGGTTGACGCCTAATTGCATCAGTCGAACACTGCCATGTGGAATACAACGTATTATTAGTAAGTAAATATCTTTTTTTGGAGATGTAAGCATTTTGAATTAAGCATAGTAAAGGACCACGTGGTCTGTTTAGCTATGTTGATGTTAACACAGAAATCAAGACGGCACTTAAAATCGGCGAAGTCACTCAGGGATAATTTACTTTTGCCCAGATAAACCCCGTGAACGTTTTTGGTGAACAGCAACAGATCATTGTTCTTCAAGACCGATCGTTTTGATAGTACCCACAAACAGAAACATTATATAGCAGGGTCTTCTGATATAATTTCTAAACTAAGCTAAATAATGTAATGTTTTGTTTTGGACCGCTTCAAAAGATGAACCGAGTACCTCGTACGTTTTTGTCAACATGAATCACGTGTGCATTGATAACCAATCACATGATAGGATGCCACAAAATGAATGCGAAAGTGCAAACAGATGTAAACAACACACAAATGGTAAGATTTTAATGTACATTTACAGATTATTCGTCGAGCACCCTTGAAAAGAACACATCCATAGACCAGTCATTTGCTAGCAACAGTTATCATCCAATGGACTTCAAATGTTTTTTTTTTTAACTGGAATGTTCTAATATGAAAAATTAAGATAATATACAGTAATGTGTTTGTTTTACTTACTACACTTAGAATATAATGTGAGATAAATTGTATAATGTCACTACGTGTCACTGTATATCACAGTGGTCTGGTCACATTATTTTACTGAACACATACCCTACTGAAAAAACCAGCCTAGGTTGGTTGGCTGGTTTTAGCTGGTCGACCAGGCTGGTTTTAGAGGGGCTTTGGCCACTTCCAGGCTGGTTTCTAGCCATTTCCAGCCTGGTCTTAGCTGGTCAGGTTGGGAGATAACCAGCTAAAACAGCTTGACCAGCCTAGCCAGGATGGGAGCCCAGCCAAAACCAGCTATGTCCATCTTAAACCAGGCTGGTAAAGCTGTTTTTAGCTGGATTAAGCTGGTCATTTTCCAGCCTGACCAGCAAAAACCAGGCTGAAAATGGCTGGAAACCAGCCTGGAAATGGCCAAAACCTCTCTAAAACCAGGCTGTTCAACCAGCTAAACCAGCCAACCAGCCTAGGCTGGTTTAAGCTGGATTTTTCAGCAGGGTGCACTTTCTTGCACTCAATTACAATATGGATATTTTTAAAGAGCCCCTATTATGCATTAAAAAGGGTAATATTTTGGTTTTGAGGGTCTCCAACAACAGTCTGATATGCATGCAAGGTCAAAAAACACTTTCATTGTCTTATAATATGCATTTATTTTTACCTGATTATCCCAACAACTCCTATATGATTCGTTCAGCGATTCATTTGTTCCCAAACCGCTCCTTAGCGCGATGCTAATCTGCAGTGATTGGTCCAATGATCCAGTCTGTTGTGATTTGTTAGACTGCGTTCATGAGACAGAGTTAAATGCCCACCACAGCTTATCAACAATTTTAAAGTAGTCAGAGCACATGGTGTATGTGTGAGCCCAATGCAGTTTAACACCAGGATATTGCTCTATTCTTAACCATAAGTAAAACAGCGACACACATTCAGTATTAATCCACACAGTGGCAAAAGCTGAACTATTTTGAAACTTGACTGCCACACAAGTGTAGGCACAGCTGACGGTGGCCATAGCAATGACAAACGGCAGTGGAACGCAAGCTCACAAACACATTTAAATTTGTAAACAAACCGGCACACGTTGCGTTTTCAATATGGTGTTAGACGCAGTATGAGAATGTAAAGAGTTAACCAGACACAGTACAACTGGTTACAAGTAACAAAACACAATTAAATACATAATTTGCAAGCTAAAGAGAACAAGAAGGCAACCATTTTATTCACACGTACTTACACTTGTAAAATGGAGGAAGAAACTGATCCATGAACTGTGCACTGTAAAGTTCCTTTTAAGTTCTGACAAGATCCCATACATCAATAGTCTTTTCTGATTCTTCCTTTAACATACGGCCGACAAATCCCCCATTGTTAGCGCATAGATTGCTGAAGCACTCATCAGAAAAATGACAGGAACACAGCGCAAGGCTGGGCTATTGACCTTAGTCTAAAATGCGGAAGTGCGCCTGTTTTGCAATTGTCTTAGAACTTCCAGTCGCCTATGGGAGAAATGACTAGGAATAATAAACGGCAAAAAACTACTTGCTCTACAAACAAATGTTTGCATGACTATACAGACCAAGTAGAATAATATAACAAGGAAATATCAGTTTGCAACATCAAACAGCTAAACGAGCAGTTTTTAATGTCTAAAAATGAATGGAAGTAAATGAGACCGGAAGTCTCGTGCCAAAAAGATTCAAATGGCAGCGCCCGCTCGTCGGCGAAGAATAAGGTGAATATTGCTGAGGTATTTTAGCAAAAATAAACTTCAACCACTGACTCCTCACAGCCTCATCTTTGGGTAGGGATAATAACCAATAGTATCTGTATGCAGCCTTTACGATGCAAGCTGAGATTTCTACAGTGTTTGTGGGCGGGGCGGTTAAAATTTTCCCGGGTCTGCGCGCGCAACAAATGGGGAGGGCTTAAGTTTTGTATCGACGTCACGGCTAAAGACTCAACACACTGGTGATTCATTCGAACCACTCTGAGTCAACTCTTTTATAGATGAATCAATAGTTTTAAAACTGATTTGCTTTTAAAGATCTCCTCGTGTACATTTATTAAGAAGAACACTATTTATTTTATACATTTCCACTGCACTCCTAAAATTCTTTGATGTGCTCCTTCTGAAAAAAGTAAGGGTCAAGCCCTGTGATATAAACTATAAAGGTCTCTTGTTTGTTTGTAATTTAAATGTAGACTTTCCTTTAAGCTCTTCGTCTGCTACTGTTGATGTGTGTATTTTCATTGCATGCATTTTAATGTGTTTTGGTTTGATTTTATTCTAAACTTTTTCCTATCTTTTTTTTTTAGCTGACTTGACCTGTCTGATTTGATGTTGTAAGTAAACTGTAAAGCAGCAGAATGTCCCAGCATGCTCTACTCTCTGCCAGTTGTAAGGCATGGCGGTCTCTGTCGTGTCCACGGTCAGAGCTTCGGCTGGATCTCACTCTGGGATGTGGTCAGACCTTCAGGTAAATTATATACAGTAATATACTGTAATATATAGATATATATGAATTGCTCCATTAGAAGTAAACACACACAACACAATTACAAAACACAAAGAGTTCTGAGTAATTCAACCTTAGATTTTCATAATAGTCAAATTGGCTGCACACATTTCAGCATCCATTACATTTTTTAGTGCCTTTGAATGTGTTGCCTCTATTTCCAAACAACGTTCTAATAGCATGAGCTTACCCTTATTTAAGACATGTCTTTCAAACTTTTAAAAACAGCATTGTCACTCCAGTAAAAAGTAAAAAAAAAAGTTTGCCAGACAAAGTGAGATACGCACCTTCCGGGATGGTCTAACTCATACATAATTATAGGCCACAGTATAATGTAAAAAAATAGCAGTGCTTTAAAGTTAATGACTTGCATATATTTTTAAATAGCTTTTATTTCCATGTTTCAAAAATAGTGGAAACATTACACATTCAAATTTGGATCAGTATTAAGAGATTTTATGTTGTTGCGTGTTTTTTTTTTTCCCACAAGAGGCATATAAAAGAAAAATTAACCTGTTCATATTCGTATTTTTTCTTCTTATACTCGTTATTAAACTATTTATAAAAATAATATTCATATTTTTTCTTGTTACCCATACAAACCTATAAACTAAAGACATTTTTACCCTTCAGTTCAAATTACTGAACTTATATGTAGTTGCAGAGCCATTATTTGTGATAACTGCTGTCTTAAAACAAAACATTTGGCACACGGAAACAGGGATTTCAGTCTATAATGAATGAACTGCGTCTACTTCCTTTGAATTTTGGATTTTGCTGCAGAAACTGAATTTTTAATGTCAGCCCACAATTTTTCACTTGGGTTGAGATCAGGGGATTGAGCAGGCCACTCCATTACGTCAATCATTGACATAAAATCTCATTTGCGATTTAGCAAAAGCTGCGATTGTCTTGCACATCATGTGAGGAAAGTATGGTGATGTGATCAGTAGTAAATTTCCTCCAAAGGCCAGAGGGCGCTCTCTCTTTTTCTTGAGTAGAAGACCTCCAGAACAACCTAATATGCCCTGAAGAAACCGAGGAAATACCAGTCTATGGTAAATCTTTATAACGTAGGATAAACAGAAGATATAACTGCTTTCATTTGATTCAGTAGGATTAATAAAACATGACCACGACAACATAGGGTTCATCCAAGTTCTTCTTATAATGTTCCTGATAATAATGAATGTAATGATGCAACGCTTCAGCATAGGGCAACATAATCTCTTCAAGTATTTTGATGTATTCAAACTGGTGTTGTCAAAAGTATTGAATTCGGTACCTATCGGTACAGAGATTTTAAAAACCTCCATTTCCTGCTAACATTTAGAACTGTTAACTCAACAGAAATGACTGTGATTGGCTGTGAAGGTCATCAGTTAACTCTTCACCGCTGTTCACCAAGTGTAAACACTGATACAGGGACACTGAAGCATTTTCAAAGCTGCGTAGATCAGTCAATCCATCAGCGGATCGATCATGTGTCTGCTCATAGACTGACCAGCTAATCGATACGACTTTGAAACGCTCCAGTGTCCCTGTATCTGTGTTTGGACATTGTGAACAGCAGTGATAAGTGAAGTCTTTATAGCATAGGATAAACATAAGATATATCCAGGGCTTGACATTAACTTTTTTGATCACCAGCCACTGTGGCTAGTAGTTTTACTCCTGTTTCACACCGCAAGCGTCAGCGGCACGTGAGCAGTGCGTGCTGTTTCGGCATCCAGGTTAACAGATTAGAGCTTTCATACCGCACGCAGCAACATCGCGTCAGAGCGAGGCGTGAGCGTCGCCGAAGCAGCAGTGCAGCGATAGTTTCGGCGCTGGGTCTATTTTTGACGCGCTGCTCACGCTCAATTAAAGTAACAGTGCACTGATAATGACCAAAAGTGAAAGTGAAGTGACAGTTGAGTGACAGTAAAAAGTAGCAATTTTACCCAATAAATGCGTTAATAATGTCAAATGGTTTATATATAGTCATTCAAATGAACTTAAAACGATTAAAAACGGCAACAAACATTTATTTAGGCCCGAACTGCAAATCCAAATGTAAAACAATTTTAGTATTAGTTTTGCTTAAGTTGCACACTCGTGTTGTAGGAGAGGGGAAATAGAATATTTACGGGATTTGTAGTCCATAGTGAAGTGTATTGTGGGTAGTGTAGTTCGACCCGCATGCTGGATTATGTGAGCTCGCTGTGTTCTGTGCTGCTGAGCAGAGCAAGAAAGTTTTAATCGGCTTTGTTTTATGTTCACTCGAGTTATTTCTATCGGGAGCTGATTGCACTGTGAACCTGACAACACGAAAATAAGTAAAAGAATGGCATGCATTGGTTACTATTGTCTGTCTCATCCTCTGCACGAGCATGAATTAACGAGCTGTTATCTAGCTAGTTTGATCATGTAATGTATAAATATCATTATAACTATACTGTATAAATATTATTATAACTAGGCATACAGCAACCTGACAATCAAAAAACAAATGACATGATATCACAGGTGATTGTCTTCTGATTGTAGACACTTCTCATATAGCTTGAGAAGCATACAGTACTATTTGATCTGTAAAATTTGTAAAATAAACATTTGCAGGTTAAAGAAACAGCATAGGAGGGGCCTTGGTGCAGATAAAAAGTTTAAAAAGTGTATTTGTATATAGGGAGACATGGGTAACTAGATAGAATAGACAGAGATAGGTTGATCTCTGCAGCAGCTGCCGAAGAGCTGCGCGCTGCAGACGCAGCTGGTGTGAAAGGCAAACGCCTGCTTGCGGTGTGAAACAGGCGTTAGACTGTCACTAGCCACTCGCCATTTTCACTAGCCAAAATTTTATAGTTGGGAAAATATATTTTATGTGCATAAATTTGACTTTGGCATGGGTTGCAGCTGCTGAATTGACTTCTTTTAGATTTTGTGTTTTTACCACTTGCCTCTTCATTTATTTAATTGATTTTTGTTTATGCGCTTACTCAATGAGCATGAGCAAATGGGTTATGCTTTCATAAAAAAGTTTCGCATTGCAATTAGTTTTCTTTCACAGGACTTTTCAGGGCTCAACACAAAACTGATTTAACAATACTTTTTTTTCTCTGGCCACACCAAACTAATTATTGCCTTGCCACTAATTTTAAATAATGTGTCAAAACAAGCAAAATGCTGCTGTATACATCCACATTTTATTCAACAAAACAGCTTACATTTAAAAAATATATATTCTCACGCATCTAAAACGAAGCACAGTGGTCTGTTCTGGCTCAAGGACCCAGATCACAAGTTAACTATGCATACAACAACATTTTAAAGCAATATTTCTGTAAAGGATGATTATTAAACTATATTAACAAAAATAACAGCAAGCAAAAGAAAGCAGGTAAAAAACACTCTCTGCGTGATAATGAAAGGATGATGCTGCGCACACGGTTAATGTTAGGCCAATTAAAACTCTGTTCAAAGAATGGTTAAAGCGAAAACATTTGCTGCTGCTTACAAAGAATCTCGAGCCCTTGAAGGACAGTGGGGTGCACGAGCATCGCACTAGTTTCGTATCAGGCACAGTTGCTTGGAGTGAGAAAACAGCACAGGAGCTTTTAAACATTGATTTGAATCAATGCGCGACACTAAGTGAGGATCAATGCGCGACACTAAGTGAGGATAGCCTGTCTCGCCGTGTTCGTGATCCTCATTCGTTATTCACCTGCTTTCCTTTGCTTGTATGAAAAGCTGGTTTTATCAGTCATGCTGCTTCTCGATTCTAAGATCACATTTGTACGCATATAGACAAACGGTCATAAACTAACAGTATAATCTGTAGTGACGACGAGCCAGCACGGCCAATTTAAAAATTGGTTTCAGCCAACCAAAGTGGCTAGTGGGAGCGGCTGTCTAGCCCGCCACAACCGAAATCTACCCGCATTTGGCGGGTGTTAATGTAAAGCCCTGGATATATCTGATTTCATGTGATTCAACGAGATAAATTCCAAGATGGCGGCGCATCCAGACGCATTGGCTTGTCACGGCCCAAAAAACGGTGCTTTTATGTCTTTAAATGTTGTCAGTTCCTCCTCAAACTCTGTCAGTTCACCACAGATTCACAAGGAAATCAAAAAAGTCTAACGCCTGTTTCACACCGCAAGCGTCAGCGGCGCGTGAGCAGAGCGTGAGCAGCGCGTGTGTTTTCGGCGTCCATGTTAACAGATTAGAGCTTTCATACCGCACGCAGCAGCAGCGCGTCAGAGCGAGGCGTGAGCGTCGCCGAAGCAGCAGTGCAGCGATAGTTTCGGCGCTGGGTCTATTTTTGACGCGCTGCTCACGCTCAATTAAAGTGACAGTGCATTGATAATGACCAAAACACATTGAATGACAGTAAAAAGTAGCAATTTTACCCAATAAATGCGTTAATAATGTCAAATGGTTTATATATAGTCATTCAAATGAACTTAAAACGATTAAAAACGGCAACAAACATTTATTTAGGCCCAAACTACAAAACCGAATGTAAAACAATTTTACTATCAGTTTTGCTTAAGTTGCACACTAGTGTTGTAGGAGAGGGGAAATAGAATATTTACGGGATTTGTAGTCCATAGCGAAGTGTATTGTGGGTAGTGTAGTGCGACACGCATGCTGGATTATGTGAGCTCGCTGTGTTCTGTGCAGCTAAGCAGAGGAAGAAAGTTTTAATCGGCTTTGTTTTATGTTCACTCGAGTTATTCCTACCGGGAGCTGTTTGCACTGTGAATCTGACAACACGAAAATAAGTAAAAGAATGACATGCATTAATTACTTTTGTCCGTCTCATCATCTGCACGAGCATGAATTAACGAGCTGTTATTCTGCCGCTGGACATCACTGAAGCGGAGAAATTAACACTAGTTTGATCATGTATAAATATCATTGTAACTATATTGTATAAATATGATTATAACTAGGTCTACAGCAACCTGATAATCAAAAAACAAATGACATGATATCACAGGCGATTGTCTTCTGACTGTAGACAATTCTCATATAAGTTAGCTTTAGAAGCATACAGTACTATTTGATCTATAAAATTTGTTAAATAAACATTTGCAGGTTAATGAAACAGCATAGGAGGGGCCTTGGTACAGATGAAAAGTTTAAAAAGTGTATTTGTATATAGAGGGGTAACTAGATAGAATAGACAGAGATAGGTTGATCTCAGCAGCAGCTGCCGAAGAGCTGCGCGCTGCAGACGCAGCTGGTGTGAAAGGCAAACGCCTGCGTGCTGCTACTGCTCGACATACGCGCTGCTCACGCTCTGCTCACGCGCCGCTGACGCTTGCGGTGTGAAACAGGCGTAAGCCTTAGACCAGGCCACCTCAGTTCACGACTGACTACATTAAAATAACATCATTTCCAATTCAGTTTCTAATGACACTACCACGTCTTTTTCAAGGACACAGATGCTTTAGTACTTCAAATGTTTTCATAAATATGAGAACATTAAAAGGTGGCTAAATCTCCAACACTATTCTTTAAAACACCACAATGTTCTTTCCTATAAATGAATATATATTCTGTGCAAAATTCTTTATGGATATCCAGTCCTTTGCAATGGTAATCACACAAAAAATAAAAATGAAATATTTACACCTACATAAGTAACCCAAACAGTATTAAATGTCTTAAGACTAAAAAAAAAAATTATTCAGGTGAGGTCCAAACACGGATCTGCAGCGTCGTAATGCAACATGCTGACCAGTGGACCACAACCACTGCTATGGTGGTGCGTCTGGAATAAAAAAATAAGTATTGCACTGTCACTGTTTATTCGCCCCTTTTTAGATTTTTGATCAAGTTATGTCAGATTTATTAATGTAGTGAATCATAAAATTTTTATTGAGCAGGTGTAATATTCAATAATATTAATTACTCGAATTCTTATTTTAACCAAGGTGTCACTGTTTGGGGTCGAATAACCTGCAGGCTGCATTTTGCTCACGGGGCTGCAAGAAAATAAAAATAATGAATAAAAAGAGTGAGGCTATGGTAAAATAATAAATAAATAAATAAATAAAGTGCGACTGCTGAAAGTGCAAGCAGCTAGGGACACCGGCCCTCGCGGCTAAAAAATGGACCGGCGCGCTGGGAATTTTCCCGGTCTTCCTGATTAGCCAATCAAAGCTACGAGGCATTTGTTTACTGCTGGAGCCGAACCTCAAGACCGCAGCATCACCATCAGGGCCTTAACACGTTGTCGACTCAATAAGGAAAACAATGTTTACAATAAAAGTACCATAATCATGTTACACTGCTTGCTTTAACTTTAAATAACTCTTTTGCACAATATTCACCTTTAATACATGGTGGTGTACAATAATGGTGAAGGTATGACCTTGAAAAACACAGTCATTTCTGTCATTTCAATAATAAAAATTGTATTTTAAAAAAGTGCCTATAATTTTTTGACAAATTGTTTCTTTAAACTGTATAAACCTCTGTGTTCAGCTGTTTATGATATGACTCTACTGTCAATCTATTTAGATGGCGCGAGACCGCAGATAGTCACTGGACCGGAGTAATGCGTGGAAAAGTGTGGACACTAACACAAACAGAGGATACTTTATGGTACTATGTTTACAGCCATAATAACAATCCAGGACCAGAAAACAGACAGAAAGGAAAAGTGGAAGAGGAGGAGCAGTTGTTGGGGAAAATGTCTAAAAGAACGACTTGTATAAAGCAGGAAGACGAGGGGTTGTGCACAGTACTGTCAGAACCTGACAAAAAAGAGGAGGAACTTCTGAGGGACTATTTCCAGCTAGATGTTAAATTAGGGGATCTTTACAAGAACTGGAGCACCGTGGATCCACACTTTAAACACACAGCAAACATCTTCACAGGTACATGTCTGATTAAAGCAGTCAAAATGTAAACAATGTTGAATATTTTCATAAAATATGTTTTTTTCCACTGAACACAATTGCAATGTTAGGCAGAATTATTATGCTGAACTTTTCCTGACACTGAAAGCATATAAAATGTCTTCTACTCATTTTGAAGGGACAGCTCACCCAAAACTGAAAACTCTGCCATCATATGCTTTCTCTCTACTTGTTCCAAATCTGTTTGAGTTTCTTTATTCTGTTAAACACAAAGCAAGATATGCTAAAGAATCATTAGCTGTGATTCCATTCACCAATTTTTATGCACATTTTCGAATTTTGCATAAAAATGCTTAATGAAAACGCATTTTAAAAATGTGCATTAAAATAGAGATCTGCGCGGGACTAAATTTTGAATCCCGCACCCGCCAGGTTTTAGCCGGAACCCGACCGCTCCCGCTTATATTAAGCACTTGATGTCGCGCTGCCCGACCCGCCCCGTTTTCTATCCGCCGCGCCCGATCCCGCTAAAGAGCGGGGGGAGAACAAAACCGAAAATCACCCAGTTATACAGTCCAGACAGCCTATAACAAGCTGTCTGTATAAACACACACACGCACAGCACCAAGCACACACACACAGACAAAGCTTTCTCTCTCATTCGCGCGCGCGCGCCCTCTAACACACACTCATAAGCACCAAGCACAAACACAGGCAAAGCTCTATCTCTCATTCGCACGCACGCACGCACACACACACACACACACACACACACACACACACACACACACACACACACATACACATACACATACACATACACATATCTCTCATTCGCGCGTGCGCATACATACACACACACACTGCAACAAACAAGCTAAACACAGCATCGCGCTATTTCATTTACACACATACATACGCGTGCTCACTCGGGAGTCGGGAGCGATATTGCTAGACAGCCCGCTCCCGTCCCAAATTGAACCCGTTACCGACCGCTCCTGTGATTTATTTGGAAATTTATACCCGCGCCGTAGAAATCTGGTCGGGTCTCCCTCTCTTAATGCAGACCTCTACATTAAAACTTATTAGCACAACTGAGTAGGATAAAGTTTTTAAAACTTTGCATTTCATGAAAAAATGTATAAACTAAGCGGAAAACATTTTCACAAAGTAAATGTCAGCATGCGCATCAAAAAAGCAATCACAAAAACAGATTTGTTTGTTTAAACAGATCATGTGATGATAAAAATAGGTGCAGTCGGTCAGTATTAATAGACAAACCAGTTGAGCGGCGGCATTGAACAAAATCAGAAATGTTGTTTGGTCGTTTTAAAATGCCTCAGCCAAAGTCTGTCATCAAAGTGGTTCAGTATTATTACCTCCAGAACTGTGTTGAGCGTCTGCGCTCCCATAGAGCGTTTTGCACCTCTAAAAGACAACTCACATTCATTGCATTACGCCTTCTGGGGCGCAGGTAATTTACTATGTAAGAAAAAAAAGGCCCAAAGTGGCTTCTCCTGCAGCAATTTCATTTTTCTTTTTGATATTTGACACTAGTGATGATTTTGTTCTCTTGGACTCATTGGTAGGCCCACACAGAATCTGCCCTATAGAAATCTGCTGATTTCCACAGATTTTAGGCAATTGTTGAGTCTATTTATTGACTTCTGTAAATGTGTCTAAGTATTAATTCAGTTTTTGTATTAATTTCTGTGATATTATTGACTAATATGCAAAAATGTATTTGATTTATTTACAGTACAGTTTGTAAAGTAATATTTTCTGTTTTGTAGTAGATATATAGAGTTTTGGTAAAGGTTAGGTTAGAGGCTTTGTTTACCAAACAAGTGGATCAAATTGGATTTGCATTAAAATTTAGATAAAAAGTTTTTAAGTGATAATTATAATAATAATTAATTTTTTTTTTAATAATAAATAAAAAAAAAATTTTACATTTATTTTTAGATACTAAAAATCATTCTGCAATAATCTGCAGATTTTTTTTTTAGAATATTTTGTGCTGAAGTAGCAAAAAATGTCTGCCTGGCCCTGCTCATCAGATGGAAAAGGTGCATTTTCAAATGTTTACGTGATGTTCAAGTTTTGACCTAAAAAACCTAATCTGCTTCTTTGAATGGAAACATAGCTATTGATTTCCATAGTACACTTTAAAATATGTTGGGTTATTTAACCCCAAATGAGTGTAAAATATGCACAAACCAATGCTATCTCATGGCAATTCATAACTTTTTGCATTCGTTGCTAATTCGTTACGTTTCCTCGTGAGATGAGATGAAAACATGACCTTACATTTCCTCGTGAGAGGAAAACATGACCTCTCTTGACAGAAACTGAAAATATGGAGCCGTCGCTTGCTTTTTTAATGTCTTAACATCTTGTTTAATCCCGCCCCTTTTCACAGCAACGTACAACAGAATTCCGCATGCTTAAACTCTAGTGTAACTACGGCATTACTGGTGGAATGTGCAATCAGTGAAGATTGGCCAACAGACTGCTTAAATTTAGTCATTAAACCTCCAATACTAAATTGGCCAGTGTTTGAGTTTCATTCTCCAACCCTTGTATGTCAGAAAGGGTTTGCCTGTGACACCATTTGGTTATACAGTTTAGCTTAACTATACATAGATTTGTTACTATTGAAAGCTTCTGTTGACTACTGAATAAGTGGATATTTTTCAAAAAATTATTAAACATGCCATAAGTCTAATTTGCTTCTTTGAATGGAAACATAGGTATTGATTTCCATAGTACACTCTAAAATATAAACCCAAGTGAGGGTAAAATATGCACAAACCAATGCTATCTCATGGCAATTCGTAACATTTTGCATTAGTTGCTAATTCGTTACGTTTTCTCATGAGATCAGGATGGACAAACGCAAGGCTCTTTTAAAATATGTTAAAAAATATATGTTTGTAGCCAGTCACTTTGAGTCGCATATTTCCACTTATTGAAAATAAAATAATCACAGTATTTTTCTCCCCTTTCAAAGGTCATTTAGGTGTTATTTTTTTCATTATTTCAAGATTTACAAAATACAACTGATTATTTAAATTAAAAAAAGAATACTAGCGAGAGATGAAGTAGTAAAAGTGAAAAGTTGAAAAGTGAATTTTTGTGCATGACACCTTGTTTGTCTGTTTTTGAATATCTCAGGAGTGCGTTTGCTGCGACAAGATCCTGTGGAGTGTCTTTTCTCATTCATCTGTAGCTCTAATAATCACATCTCTCGGATTCAGGGCATGGTCGAAAGACTGTGTCAGACCCTCGGGACTCTCCTCTGCAAGCTTGATGATGTGGCCTATCATGATTTTCCATCTCTGCAAGATCTTACAGGTAGCTGTAGTAGGATTTATAGTACTTCAATGCAATGTTTGCTTTGACACACCTTTTCAAAACAAGTATGGACGCTTTTAAAAAAAAATCAAATGAGTATTTATAGGTACTTTTGAATTTCATGATTCATGATATAAGGAAAATAATTGACTCTTTTTGACTATGGTTAAATGCATATTTTTGTTTTGCCAATGCTTGAGAATCTACTATTGTTCTATTTCTATACTACCTACTTTGTTAATTTTATAAGTGTTTAACTTCAATTTTCCTCTGAATTGTGTCTTCAAAACATGAACTTTAAGGGCTAGCTTACCCAAAAATGAAAATTTACTCACTACTTACTCACCCTCAAATGATTATTAATCTTTATGAGTTTCTTTCTGCTGTTGAACACAAAAGAAGATGCTTTCCTGAAAGCTGAATTCCTGTAACCATTGACATTTATAATATTTAAGATTCATTTAGCTGGAATTAGACAAATTGTATCCATCAAGGGATGTACATATGCTCAGATGGTGGGCCCAGAAGTGTCAAGAAAGTATTCTCCACACCATTAGACGATTGTTTGACTGATCCATTGATACAATACAGGATAGATCCATAATCCATGTTGTTTTCACCCAATTTTGACCCGATCGACCAAGTGATGTGGCAGAAATAGAGACTTGTTAGACCAGTCAAACCTTTTACAAACTTCTGTTATCTAATTTTGGTCATCGTGCGAACAGTTTTCTGTTCTTAGCTGACAGAAGTGGTACCTGGTGTGATCTTTGTGTGCTGTAGATCCTCTCTTTTTTAAGGTTTTATGTGTTGTGCATTCAGAGACACTCTTCTGCACACCTCAGTTGTTGCGAGTTGCTATTTGACTTACTGTTGACTTTCATGAGCTTAATCAAATCCTACCATTCTCCTCGGAGGCATTTTTCTGCGGGTTACTGAGTATTTATTTTTTCTGTAAAACCCTAGCAACGTGTGGAAATCAGCAGTTTTTGAAATTCTTAGACAAGCCATGTGACATTAAATACCACACCACATTTAAAATCACCTAAATCACCAGCAGAACATGTGTAAGTTGCAGATGAATGCACAGGGGTTGGACAATGAAACAGAAACATCTGGTTTTAGACCACAATAATTCATTAGTATCGTTTAGGGTCTCCTTTTGCTGCGAAAACAGCATCAATTCGTCTTGGGAATGACAGATACAAGTCCTGCACAGTGGCCAGTAGGATTTTAAACTATTCATTTAGCAGAATTGTGTAACATTACGTGATGCTGGTGGAGGAAAATGTTTCCTGACTCGCTCCTCCAAAACACCCCAAATTGGCTTAATAATATCCAGATCTGGTGACTGTGCAGGCCATGGAGATGTTCAACTTCACTTTCATATTTATCAAACCACTCTGTCACCAGTCTTGCTGGGTGTATTGGTGCATTATCATTCTGATGCATGGCACCACCTTCAGAATACAGTGTTTAAAATATTGGACCTAGGTATTGCAGCCCAAACACTCACTGATCCACCCCTATGTTTCACTCTAGGCATGCAACAGCCTTTGTGGCACTTTCCTTTGGGGCTTCTCCACACCTTTTTGTGGGACAGAGAGTGAAGGTGGACATGTTTCACATTGTCCACAACCTAACATTTTCTCTGATGTTACTATTGAAACCAGCATTTGGCCAAAGTGACCAAAGGTTTGGCTATAGAAACCTGGCCATATACATTATACATGTCAGAAATAGTTTGCCTGTGACAACAGTTGGTTATACTGTTTGTCTTGGAAGAAAGTGAAGAGCGAGGGGCGGTCAGGGGGCTGTGGGGGGTTTGGAGGGAGGGAAGGATGGTGTCGCGGACTAAAGTAAAAAGCCAGGGGCATTATGGGCCCCTAATTACATCTCTGGGGGCCCCCAAAATGCCCTTAAAATCGTCCTGACCTAATGTTTGTAACGAGGCAACAGACACATGTAAACTGAAGAGTATAAGTATCGAATGCACATATCTACATCGTGTCACATCACTCCACTTCTAATGTGATTTATGTAGAGTGAATGGATTTCATTACTTTGATAAAACTCATTTGTTTATGTAGAGGTTGATATTACTCCCTGCCTGTGTTTTCATATATGTTAAAGCTTTAAAATACAACACTAAATGCAACAGGAGTGTCCAAACTCGGTCCTGGAGAGTTTATTTCCAACCCTAATCAAACACACCTTAACCAGCTAATCAAGCTCTTACTAGATATACTAGAAACTTCCTGGCAGGTGTGTTAAAGCAAGTAGGAGATAAACGCTCCAGAACACCGGCCCTCCAGGAGTTAGGAGACCCCTGGTCTAGTATAATTACAAGTCCCAAATATGGTCCAAATTGAGCTTTCCATTCTATAGGGATAATTCTTGTGGTTATAAATAAGCATATAAAACCATTTGTGGTGAATTTTTACTTTAGCCAGAGACCTTATATGTATATATCAAATAACAATATGACATTGAATCAATGCATGGCGCGACCGGTCCTATATGTGAATTGAATTAACTAAATTGACTGTAGTGTATGTGTTTAAATGAGTGTGTATGGATGTTTTCCCATACTGGGTTGCAGCTGGAAGGGCATCCGCTGTTTAAAACATAGGCTGGATGAGTTGGCGGTTCGTTCCGCTGTGGCGACCCTCGATGAATAAAGGGACTAAGCCGAAGAAAATTGAATGAATCTATGCATGCTTTGGTACATTTAACAGACCACAATGCGAAATTACATCAGTACTATTAAGGATAATGTTTCGTTTTTTAATGTTTGTTTCGACCCTTTTAGACCCTTGTGTGGAGATGCGTTTGCGTGACTTAGGATTTGGCTACCGCGCACGTTTCCTGCAGCAGAGCTCACAGATGATCATGAATTCTCATCACCCTGATTGGCTACAGTCACTCCGCAGCACCCCCTACCTGCAGGCCAGAGATGCGCTGAGAACTCTTCCTGGAGTTGGTCTGAAAGTAAATACTCATTCAGTTTTTAAGCATACAAATATTGCATTAAAGCTCAATCTTACTCTTGCATGCATTTATCGAAATACTGAACAAAACTCTACAAATTTAGTAATGCCTATGATTGGCCATTGAATTCTTAAGGGCGGGACACACCAAACAGTGTGTTTAACACATCTCGACGGGTAAAGTCGGATTGTATTAGCCCAATTCAGCATGTAGAACAGTGTTGGCTGATGTTGGCAGTGTTGGTAGTGCTCTGATTTCTATTCAAGAGCGAATCAGATTGCAGAAACAACAACTGTGAAGTACCCAAGTAAACAATTCAAGTTAAGAAAGAACACATAGAAGCCAGCTGTAATTTCACAACATTTCTCAAATATAAGCCAACGATATGGAGTAATGGATTATCAGATACTAAACACTGCTTCGTTTACGCTTCGTCTGTGCTCATTCTATCTTTGGGTTTCTCTTTGTGGAATGAGAAAACAGATTAGCACGAGTTAAACTATAGGTGTGGAAGGTGTCTTCACTTCTTTTTAAAGTCATATGCAGAACATGTTCTATCATTTAAGTTGCCTGCCATGCGTTTGGTGTGTTCATGCACCACTTTTCAGAGGTGAGCTGACAACACAGCTTTCGTCGGTGCTAGTTGTTTGGCATTAGCTTGGTCTATCCCGGCCCTAGGCTCAACAGAAATATGTCATTGGTTATAATGTGTAATGCTGTTTATTTACACATTTAAATAAACCAGGGATGCACAATATATCGGCTGCCATATAATTTTTTGGCCGATAAATGCTATTTTTAATGTTATCGTTATCGGTCCTTTGTCAAAACTAGGCTGATATCTTTAAACCGAATGCGTGAGCTGAACTTGTTCAGACTTGTCCAGTGCACTATAATGAAGCTTTCCTCACATTGTTTATTCCTTCAAAGGCTGTCCTTTCTTTGTGTGGTATTGCTGTGCGTTAATACTGTTAAGTAACCATATTCCTTATCATTGTGGATATGTTGGATAGATTGTCAATACGTATTCTGGTTTAAATTGTCTTACGAAAAATATTACATGTGTAAACATAATAGCAGCGATGGACACGTGTCAAACAACTAGTTGGGTTGTTTGTAATCTAATATGATTATTTGTTATTATCAACCCGCTGCTTACCATAATAAAAGTAATAGTAGAAAAACTCTGAATTGTTTTTTATTTATCGGCTAATAAATCGGTTATCGGCCTCTAAATTTTTTAGAGTCATTGGTTATTGATATCGGCCAAAAAATCCATATTAGTGCATCCCTAAAATAAACAGACCTTAAAATCCTAGTTAAAATAAATCAGCAATTTTTACTCTTTTATATTGGCATTCAAGTTTTTTATCTGTAATTCTCCATTAATTTCAGATATCTGATGGTAACACAGAAAACCACATCAAGTATAGCTTGTACAATTGGACAGATGCCTAAAATGTAACTAAAATGATGTATTAGTATACTTGCGCAGAGTATGCATTTGGCATATGCTGCTTTATTTATTGTTAATAGCTATGCTCTAACTGTTCCATATATACATTTATAATATCTGTCTTATATCTATGAAATGTGTGTTTACTGGGGATCAGGTGGCTGACTGTGTATGTCTGATGTCACTGGACAAGTTTGAGGCTCTTCCTGTGGATACACACGTGTGGCAGATTGCCAAACGTGACTACAACTTTGCTCCCGGTACCAGCCAGAAGACCTTGACTGATAGAGTCTACAAGGAGATTGGTTTGTACTTTTATAATATGCCAAGCTGTGGCAACCACCTATATCTGCCTAATATTTATGCCTTTGAATTTTAGACTAGAAAACAACACTTGTGCTTTCTCCAGAATAATAAAAAAAACTGCTTTTTATTTATTAAAAATGTGGTACATTTTTGATCATCTTTTCCAGGTGACTTCTATAGAAAACTCTGGGGTCCTTATGCAGGCTGGGCACAGTCTGTGAGTAAACTTGCACAACATTAATGGGTGGAAAAAGTGTGTGTATACAGTTGAAGTCAAAAATATTAGCTCTCCTGTGAAATTGTAATTGTTTTTAAAATGTTTTCCAGCGTTAAGCAATTTTTTTCATCCTATTTTAAAACTGTTTTAAAAATTAATTTCTTATAACTACTTTATTTTGACTTCACCATGTTGCAAGTACATAATATTTTAGTACTTCTTTTGCAAGATATCTGTATTTGGCTTAAAGTGCCATTTAAAGGGTTAACCAGGCTATTTGGTTAACTGGGTAATTTAGGTTAATTAGGTAAGTTATTGGACAACAGTGACTATGTTTACATGGACATCAGTAATCAAATTATTTGCTCTAAGCCACAGTCACACTACTCTTTTCTTCCCTTAGACTTTCTTTCATACGCATGTTAATGCATCAGTCCGGAAACGCAAGCTCGTGCAACAAGTTTCTCAGTTTGCTGCGTTGAAAAGTTTAATCTTGGTGCACTCTGACCTGCGAAATCGCATCTTGTGACCGCGTGTGACCAATAGAAGGTCAAAACATGACAGAAATTTAAAATATGGACCTATCGCTCCCTTTTTTAATGTCTATCTTGTTTAATCCCGCCCTTTTTTGCAGCAGTGTTCGACAGAATTTTGCAAGTGCAAACTCTAGTGTGACTGCTGCCTTAATCTGACTAAGACAATAGTAAGATGAAGGCGTTTACATGAGTTGCTTTTTGAATGTTCCTTTTATGATCCCGTTTTATATGTTATAGCACATAATTCGATTAACGTCATTGCGTCACAGCACTATCCACATTTCCTCCGGAGTTTCATGTAATTTTGGGTGTTTCATTTTTAATTTGTCGACTGCAGTTTGGCACTTTCACTTTCATTCAGAAACATTTCATGCATGCCCCCGTGACAAACGGGATATAGGATGCGAGGAACTGCAGGAAGAGTGTTGTTTTAAAGAAATTTAAGACCGCACGCCGAATGGAAAAAAACTCAGCATTTCGCGATGTGTGTGTCTGTGGTCCTTTACTGACTCTGTAGGTGCAGAGAATAGTGTCAAACTAGTGTGTGTATGGAATATCTTGTCACAAAATGCAGCGAAAATTCTACACGATGGTAATAGTTTGATTAAGGTGTTTACATGTTTTTACTGCACTTCAGTAATGCGACTAAAATCAGCAAACTCCACATGCCTTAATTCGATTTCTGTTTAGTTCGATTATGACTTTAATCAGATAAAGTTAAAACAAAATCTCTGTTTACATTGCAGACTCTTAATCAGAGTATTGTCTTAATCATATTAAAATCGGATAATTGATGCCCATGTAAACATACTCAGTGATTTGTTCTGTAGCCAATCAAAGAAAAAAGGCACTAATAATATTAATATTAATATTTGCTTTAAAAAAAAACTAAACTGTTTTTAATTCCAGCCCAACTAAAATAAATACGACCTTCCCAGAAAGAAAAAGTATTAATGATGCCTTTGTGTCTTGTGTCAGGTACTCTTCTGTGCTGATCTAAAGAAGTTTCAGAAGCTGAAAGAAGAGGTATTGAGTGAAGATAAAACAGAACTGAAGATAGATGAGAGAAAACGTGACCGATGTGCAGAAAAACAGAAAACACAAAAGAAAAAAAGCAAGAGGACTTAAGATAATGTGATAAAGGGGATATAGTTCTTCAGTAATCAACCTGGACAGTAAGTCTGCATAACTCCTGTATGGTATATTTTCCGAATAACCCATTTATTAAATTCTCAAATTGCTTATTTTTAAATAGGTAATTTCAAGCAAAGTATAGTCTACACACTTATAAGTGTGCAGTTAAACACACCCAAGGGTTTGTCTTTGCTTCAAAATATTTGAGAGAAAAAATAATAATGAAGAAACATTTGAGAAGAAACACATTGTGTTTTACAAAATTAAATGCTGAATTTGCATTAAGCATGACTTTTCCCTTATAAAATTGCACAATTTCAGTGTTTATAATCTCATAATTCTTTATTAAGTGGTCTTTAAATATTTGCCTCTATTTTGGCAACACCAAACATTCTTTATTTACATTGGAGATTATTACCAAAGTCCCTTTAAGGCATAGATATATACACTAGATATTGCATACGGACACTGAGCATGCGTCAACAGCGCTGCCACATTTGTACAGTGCTCCCAGTAAAAATGTCATTTATCTACACTAGTCAAGACTAAAGCCAATGTGAATATGCTGGACTTTAGCGCTGTGTACGGGTGTAGTAACGAGCAAACAAAGAAAACAAAGCATAAATGCAGAACGTTAAATAGGTAAGATTTAGTTTTTTACATTTTTGTATATTACAATCTTTTTGGCTAAACAAGTATTGTTACTGCAACTGCTAAAAGTAGCATCAACTCACAATAAATACTAGGCTTATGCTAATTTGGTTGAATAAAATCAGCAAACAATGTAAATGAAATATGACAACAAGACACTGCGGTACTAGAAACTGGTATTATTGTCGGCTAAGGGAATGAGTCGTTCATAACGGAGATTCATTCAGTTGAATTCAATTCAGCTTTATTTGTATATCGCTTTTACAATGTAGATGGTGTCAAAGCAGCTTCACATAAATGGTCATAGTAACTGGATCAGGGTAGTTCAGTTTTTAGTGTTTAAGTTCAGTTCAGTTTAGCTCAGTTCAGTGTGGTTTGAAGTCATTACTGAGAGTCCAAACACTGAAAAGCTAATTCATCGATGAGTAGCTTTTTTAGATCCTGAACCATGCAAGCTAGAGGCGACAGCGGAGAGGGAAAAAAACTTCACCAATAGGAAAGTGAAGAAAAAAAACCTTGAGAGAACCAGACTCAGTTCGGCACGACCATTTTAATTTCTCCGCTGGCCAAAAGTCTTGTGCAGAGCTGCAGTCTCAGCAGTGGAGGCTGAAGCTGGCCTCAGCGAAGACTCGTCTGTCCCTGGAGCGTCACTGGAATCAGTCTTATGCTCTCCACTCCCCCATGACAAACAGCGCAGCAGCAGCAGCTCAGGATATGGCCTGGTCCCGGAAATGGAGAATAAAGAGAATAATTAGCGTAGCTGCTGTTCATAGTGTATATAAACAAGATGTAGAAACTTGTGTGGAAAAGAAAATTGTTGGTCATCCAGTCTTTAACATCTCTAATACACTCAGTTAGCTTAGACAATTCAGACATCTCATCAGGTTTAGTCAAAATATATAATTGAGTATCATCTGCATAGCAGTGAAAGCTGATCCCATGTCTTCTAATAATGTCTCCTAGTGGTAGCATGTATATTGTAAACAGCAAAGAGCCTAAAACTGATCCTTGAGGCACCTCATAATTTACTGACGAATTCACTAACGAATTGCACCCTCCGTCTGAATTAGAAGGGAAAGCAGGAGAGGTGGTGTGTTTCAGGACATGGATCAGATCAAATTTAACAGGGAGGAAGGATAATACATTTGCATGCACACAAACACACACTCTTTGTCGGCAATGCCTGTGCGATCATTTATCCATCGATATAGTAAAGTGATGTAAAATTAGAATTTTCGTATTTTAAAATAGAAATTTTCATAATGACTACCGGGAAAACTCCTGATCATAGATAAATGTGTATATGTGTATATATCTCTGGCTCTAGATGGCTAGTCCTCCATTGCACCTTGGTCCCACATTCATTTGAAAGGAGCGCTACCCTGTACTAAAATGGCAGCTCTATTGACGCATATCTTCCAATAGACAACAATAGCGTAGGAGACATCTAATGTAAAAATCTATGCCTTTTAGGCAAGTCAATTCACTCAGCGGGCATTCTGTCTGGCCAAGCTTACGATTACATTACTCATTTGAAATCACCAATAAAATTAAGCAACATCCGTGTCATAAGTTTAGTTTCCGAACGTTCGAATCAAACAAAATCGGCATTTTTTCAGGTTTCAGGCTCTCGAAAGGAACGAGATCACGACACCAACCTCATTTATGGCCACGTTGCACATTACCATGCTCTGAATTATGCTTCGTCAGATTGCGCTGCTTTTCCGAAGTAATTCACAACTTGGTCTTGATAGCGAATCTCCTCCTCCTGTTTACAAGTTTGTGGGAGTTTGAGCAGTTGTTATCAAGTAATGTGTGTTTGAAAGGACAGACTGTACCTCACATTCATTTTATAGACATTACAAAACCAAAACAAATGTTTGTTTTCAAGTGTAGTTGGCTTATTTAATAATAATAGTAGAGATTTCAAGCTTTATTTTGATATATTCCTTATGTCTGTGAAGCAAGTATTCGCTGAGATTCCAGTGCCTTTGTTGACCACAAAAACTGTCGTAAAAACATACGTCTGGTCCAAGCTTCTCCCTCAGAGAAATGTCAGTCTATAGCGATTGATGATTGGCTCCTGTTCTCGTAGGCGGGGCTTTATTTGCCAATTTGATTGTTACACTTTTCCCCATTTAAAACTATAGAGCAGAGGTCACCAATCCTGGTCCTGGAGGGCCGGTGTCCCTGCAGGGTTTAGCTCCAACTTGCCTCAACAAGCCTGCCTGGATGTTTCAAGTATACCTAGTAAGACCTTGATTAGCTTGTTCAGGTGTGTTTGATTAGGGTTGGAGCTAAAATCTGCAGGACACCGGCCCTCCCGGAACAAGTTTGGTGACCACTGCTATAGAGTGACCTGTCTTGTGTATACTACAGTCTTTGTTTTTACTGGCAATTTATATCAATTAATATGCATCAGTGGGAATTCTTCGGTTGTTTTGGAAATAAATGGATAGATGGTATGTGTGTTTGTGCTGTAGTTGTGTTATATGCACTGAAACTGCACTTTAATGACACTGAATTGCACATGCCCATTACACAAGCACAAAAATACATACATTATGCCAGTTCATCCACCCAGAAACACAAACAGTGACGCTAAAAAAAGGAAAGGCTGGACTGAGTCAGTGGCTTATGTAAGTGTGACCCAAGTCATGCGGCAATGTTCTTTCTCGGAGGGGCTTACAGCATGCCATGCAATGTCAAAATGACTCACATCATAATAAAAGTGTTTTACCAGAGGACCGAACATCAAGACAAAGATATTTTCGGGATTAAGCTGCAAGTCTCCCATGCCCTCAAACATAGTGTGACTATAGGTCTTCATTCATGTGTGTCAGTCCAGAGAGTCTTATTCAAAGTCAAGAAGAAGGTTAAAACACATTTTAATTTATTTCCTCATCATTTATTCAATCTCAGATGGTTATAAACTGTTGAACTCAAAACAAGATATTCGGAATATTGTTGGAAACCATAGCAGGAACAAAAATACTTTGAAAATCAATGGCGGCTGCTTTCCAACCTTTTCCCAAAACTTCTTATTTTGTGTTCAACAGAAGAAAGAAACTCAAACTGGTTTGGAACAAGTTGAAGGAAGAGTAAATCATTGTAATTTTCCTTTCAGGTTGAACTAGCCCTTTAAGACATGTGATGTAAGAATGTCTTCGAAGGATAAACAATCCAAACATTTAGTAAGATTGTTTAAACTAACCATCTAGCAATGCATTGTTCCTGCCCGAATACCTGGCTGGATACCTGGCTTTATTTACCTTGCACGCAAAAGCTCTGTACTTTAACCTAGGGAGCTTAACGTATAATTATAGCTCTCATTAAATCTGTTCCAAAAGCTAATAGGCATAATTATACCTTCTTTAGGGCTGATTCTAAAGAAGCACTGCATGCATCCTTTGCAGACAATCCAATCCCATTATAATTATCCAAGACGCTTGACGAAACGCTGTCAAGCTTTGGCTGGTTAAGATAACCCTTCTAGCAGTGGTGGAAAAGCCAGTCTGCAAGTGGAAAAGCATCTTCCTTAAACCCCCCCCCCCCCCCCCACACACACACATCATTAATTTGCTTTTATTTAAGACATAGAAAAGGCCATTAAGGAGGTATTTCCGCCAATAGCTATAGGAACTAAAAATGTTCCTCCAGTGGAAAAGCTCATAATGACAAACTAAGCAAGACAAAATTGAGGAACATGATCAGTAGTCAAGGGAACAAATGGGGGAACAAATGTTCCTGTCCGTTTTTACACTCGCACTTGCCCTTGAGGGAATGCCTTCCACCATTTTATCATACCACGTCAGGTGGACAAAGGAAGTACCCTCGAAACCTACACTACCTGACAAAAGTAAAAAAAAAAAAGTACAATAATTGCAAAACGTGTAATTGACATTATTAACAATCAGGTCCTACAAATGGGCAAAACAGAATTATTGCACTAGACAGTTTTCAAATCACACTATACAGCAGTACTGCCCGATCATGTTTATATTTTTATATGTGGGTATTATACCGTGTTCATGTTTTGCATGGTCTTGATGTTCAGCACTTGTTATTAAGCATGATTTGAGAATGACCAAAGGTTGTCTTGTCTCTTCGGCAGAAGCAAAAAATTGGCATTTGCAAACATTTTCTAGGTCTTATAATCTCAATGCGGTTCTAAAAAATGCTCTAAACTTATTTCACAATGTACATCTTAAAACTATTTTGTTTTACTTGAATGTGTTCTTCTAAAAATTCTAAACCCTTATATTTATTTTCTTGATAATTGCAGAATTGTGGTGTGTTCACAGCAACTGAAACACAAATGTTGGAAGGCATTTCCACCATTTTAAAGATCATTCTACGTCAGGTGGACAAAGGAAGTACCCTCGAAA